GTCTTTCTCTCTCTCTGCTCTCTCTTCTCTCTCCTCTCTCTCTGCTCTCTCTCTCTTCTCTCTCTCCCTCTCGCGATCTCTCTCTCTCTCTCTTCTCTCTCTCTCTCTGCTCGCTCGCCCTCTCTTCTCTCTCTCTCTCATCTCTCTCCTCTCGCTTCTCTCCTCTCCTATGCTCTCTTCCTCTCTCTGTCTCTCTCTCTTCTTCTCTCTCTCTCTCTCTCCTCTCTCTCTCTCTCTTCTCTGTCTCTCTTTCTCCTCGTCTCTCTGTCGCTCTGTCTCCTCTGTCTCTCCGCGTTGTCTCTCCTGTCTCTCTCCCCCTCTCTCTACTCAACCTCTCTCTTCTCTCACTCCTCTCTCTCTCTCTCTCTCTTCTCTCTCTTTCTCTCTCTCTCTCTCTCTTTTCTCTTCTGTCTCTCTTTTCGATCTGTCTCTTGTCTCTCTATCTCTCTCTCTCTCTCTCTTCTCTCTCTCCTCTCTCTCTCTCTCTCGTCTCTCTCTCTCTCTCTCTCTCTCTTTCTTTCTCTCCCTCCCCTCTTTCCTTCCCCCTCCCTCCCTCCTTTGTTTTTTTTTTTTCTTCCCCTTCTTTTCTTCTTCCTTCCTTTTCCATCCCCCCCCTTTTTCTCCTTATTTTTTCTCTTTTTCCCCTTCTTCCCTCTTTTCTTTATTCTCTCTCTCTCTCTTCTCTCTCTCTCTCTCTGTCTTCTGGTCTCTCTGATCTCTCTGTCTCTCTCTCTTCCCTCTCTCTCCCCCTCACTCTTCTCTCACTCTCCCCATCTCTCTCTCACGCTCTCTCTCTCTCTCTCTATCTCTCTCTACATCCTCTACTCTCTCTCTCTCTCTCTTCTCTCTCTCATCTCTCTCTCTCTTTCTCTCTCTCTCTCTCTCTTTCCATCTCCCCCTCTCTCTCTCCATACACATTCTCCATCTCCCCCCTCTCTCTCTTTCCATCTCTCCGTCCCCCCCCCCTTCTTCTTCTCTCTCGCACCCCCCACACACACACACGCGCCGGCCCATGCACCCGCACGCCAGCACCTAGGCAAGAAAACGTGTTATTTATTATTGATCGTCAAGTCGGTTAATTTGCATCACGGCTCGGCCAGTGCAGTGTTAAGGTCACGTCTCCAGCGGACGTCGTTATCAATAGTGTAACGCCCTGGCATGGTGACGACCGGGGCACAGAGGTCACAACCGGGTCACAAAGGTCCTGACCGCGTCACAGAGGTCACGACCGGGTCACAGAAGGGTCACACGAGCTCACAAATAGGTCACGACACCGACGTAAAGACGCGTCACGACGTGTCACAGGCGGTTTCCAGTACTAACACAGATAAAGCACTAAAAATTCGCGTACTCTTTAAATCTTGGTTACTAAATCAACCAGAGGAAGTGAAATTTTAGAATACGAGCACAGTATGTAAACAAAACTTTTCAGGTTTCATCATCGTCTCTATCTTTTATAACTCCGATGTCCGTTTGAGAAAGCAGCAGAAAAATCACGGACTAACAATGAAACTGACAGGTCGGTAAATTTTGCACGCGATGTGATTTTTAGATAGCTATCTTTCAAAAATAAAGTCGCATATAGCACAATTGCACCTCTAATTTCGAACCGTACGAGACTACACGTGTACATGCGCTGAGTTGTATATAGCACTCCGAGTATTCCGTAGGCCCACTCCTAGTTGAGACAGATCCGCAGCAACACAGGTGACAATTAACAGATACCTGTATCTGTCAATCACAGGTGAGTCACAGACACATACAAGGCACCCTAACACCCCCTTCACACACATTCACTCACGCACGCGTACGCACGCACACGCATCCGTACGCACGCACACGCATACGCGGGCGAACGCACACGCATACGTACGCACGCACGGCAACCGCATTACGTACGCACGCCACACGCCATACACAACGCACGCACACACGCACGCCACGCGACGGCACGCACGACACCGCACCACGCACGCACGCACAACACACACCACACACACAACACACACTTACCCCCTCCCCACAGGGCCGGCGCACTACAGTCTGTCAGCACAGAACACCGCGCTGTCCATCTGTCTCATTAAGTTTCCCTCTCTCTGCTCCTGCTCCTGCTGTCACAGAGCATCCCAGATGTTACCGCAGTTTTTATGACATCATTGTCTTTCCCGTATCAAAGCCCGGGCGGACACGAGCGAATATTGATTTACCAGTACATGTAATTATATATTAATGTTAAACGGTAAAACCCCTAACATCACAATAATGAGAGGGACAATTAGTATTCTTATGATAATTTAAATCTCTCTTGATGCTCGTACATGCACGTCTATGATATGTATATACTGATTATGGCAGCTGTGAGTCATCTGACTGCCACTTGAGAATGGCAATGTATTTCAATAGAAGTTTTCAAGCGCACCTGCTGAAGACTTGACGACTTTATAGAGGGAAGAAACCACTCAACGCCAAAGCACTTAATCATACATACGCTCACACGCACACGCACACGCACACGCACACGCACCACGCACACAACGCACACACACACACACCACACACAGACAACCTGATATACATCAGTGGATACTATAATGCTCTTTCGACGACTCTACAATACACATCCTCTAGAGTCTAGAGCTCGAACAAAAGAAGACTACCCCGGTGATGACGGCCCACGCCCAATGATCACGAACCACTTTTCAACTGCTCTTTTCAGCTCGTAAGGTCAGCAATATTGTTCTGAGAGCAAATTACGATCATTAGGTAGAAATGCGGCAAGACCGCGCGTTTTATGAAACGGGAGTTTTTTGTGAGCGCGATAGTTATAATTGCATATTGGTAGTAGACGATCGGCGTTGCGTGCAACGGCGACGTTCCGTGCGATTGCGTCGCCGTGTACCTCTCACCTCCCAGTGCTCCCACTGCTTCTCATGTGAACACACATACACACAACACTGCACGCATGGATACCAGAGGAAATATGTTATTGCCTATTAAAAAAAACCACTTCAAATACAATCCGACTTTCTTAGAAAAAAACGTCTCGTGTCTACTGTATGTATACTAACTTATATAATCAAAAGCTAATAAAACACCGTTTATTTATTACTTATAGCTCTTGATATAATTATCTAGGTATATAACTATATGTATTTATGTATATATATATATATATATATATATACTATATAATATATAGTGACTGTGTGATGGGAGATGCATTAGGCAAACACAAACCTACGGAAGTATGCTTTGTGCAACAGTAGTCATCATAATTCTCCAGCAACAGAGAATAGGATTATAATTCCGCCATGAAATTAATGACTTCGATTTTATAACTATATTCACCACTTTATTACAATTTTAATTGACACTTACTGTAATCTCACGTGTTCCACTTATCATTACATTGTGGTAATATATTAGTCAAGCTATATACCTTTTCTAATGGTTATGCAGTGTTCATTGTTCAACATCGGATAGCTAGGTTGTGCAGGGGAACCCCATGGAGATTCACACTGTCCCCTAGCACTTGTGCCCACAGGTGCCTACAAGGGCTATATATAGTACTAGAGCTAGTTGTCGCACATAACTTTCAGTTGCCCCAAAAAGTTCACCACTGTGATGACACTGTGACTGAGTTGGTCCGTAAGCCTAGCGCAGACTTGCGATTCTGGTCGCGCGTAGCTGCGACCTGCAATCGCATGCGATCGGTCGCACGCCTCGCCGAGTGTGCGCAAACTGCGCATGCTAGCGACTAGCTACCATTTGGCGAAAAACGCCTGGCGGCATGAGCAGTATTTACCCGTCATTTCCAGTTGGATGGCGACATCTTTATATGCCGCATGTTTCTTAGTGCGATCGCTGTATTCCGGCAGTGTAACATCAAACAAAACCGGTCTCTCCATCCACATATCTAGCAAAATGCTTTCTTTCTCATCACTCCAGCGTGTTGCTGTGAGCGTAGCCATATTGAAACATCACGTGATGAGATGGTGCTCCCTGATTGGTCGGACGAGAATTTGTCATCGTTCCAAGTCGCTGCCTACCCGGCCGCACACATGCGATATGAAAGCGATTTCGGAGCGACGAGTTGCTGAAAATCAAACATGTTTGATTTCTTGCGACTCGTCGCAAGAGACCAGAATCGCAGTCGCACGTTCCCGCAGACCTAGCGATTTCTCATGCGACTCGGCTGCGATTCTAGAATCGCAGCCGACTAGAATCGCAGCCGAGTTGCATGAACAAGTCGCAAGCCTGCGCGGGGCTTAAATATCTACAATCACTGTACACGATGTATTTAAGCAAGATATCGAGACAGATAGATCATAGATAGATAGATAGATAGAGAGAGAGAGAGAGGGGGGGGCGAGGGGATGAGAGAGCGGGGAGGGGGTCTCATCAGTATGTAGACTTATTATTACATGTACGTAATAATAAACATCTACATCATGTAAATAAATATACATACATGTGAGTACATGTAAATTGTAACTAAAAAAGGGATTGTAAATGTAAGTTGTAAGTTGTAGATCTGTGCTCTAGCCTGCTGCCTAGGCTCTAGCGTAAGAGCAATGTCATGAGATTGTGGTGGGAAGTTGTAGTGGAGCACTTGCATGGCGTCTAAGTAGACGAAACAGAGTGTATAAACGTTGAACCCTAATTGTAGCAACTATAATTTGCTCCATTGTACGGAGGCTGTGTGTGTCACTGTGTGCGCTTATCACGATCGAGTTTTCGACACTTGCATCAATAGTTTTATATCACTGTTTTATATCAATGAAAGCTGGTCTACCTGCTAAATTATTGAGGTAACATAAAAACAATAAACATTTATCTACGCAAAATAAACAGAAATTCTAATAAATGTTCGGTCATAACATAAGTACAGTAGGCAGAAACTTACCTTTCTTGGAAGAGTGTTTTGAAACTACGCTCGCATAATCTAAACGGTGATTGGTTGGCGAGCTAAATCTCGCGTGATTTCGCGATAATACACAATGGCAGCGTCCATGCGAAGAGTTGTTACTAATTTTACTGACATTGTTTTTCCTCAGGGAAACGTAACAGTTGATAGACAGCAACTGCATTTACAAAAGCCGGGTAAATCAATTATTTCCGAAATCATTATTGTCCGAAGCTTTTGTACAATTGATGCATTTTCTGCTGATAGTGTTGAATGAACGTATCACTATCACTAATGACACTATCAGTATCCGTATCAGTATAACTATAAGTTACTATAACTACATCACTACATACTATCAGTGACACTGTCACTGACACTGGGTGTTTGTGTTTA